TCCAGGATCATGACCTGAGCCGAAGGCAGTCGCTTAACCAACTGAGCCACCCAGGCGCCCGTGATCAATGTTTTTTACTGATCCATGTGCACTTTGCTTGGGAAAATGTATATTCACTAGTTGTGGAGCAAGGAATTCTACATATGTGTACCAAATCAAGCTTATTAATTGTGTCACTAATTTTTTGTCTGCTTAATCTATTGTTTATTGAGAAAGAAGACTTGAAGTCTTCAACTATGATGATAGGTTTGTCAAATTCTCCCTATAGTTCTATCAGTTTTGCCTTATACGTATATTGGGGCTATGTTATTAGGTGCCTACAAGTTTAGAATATCTTCTGGGTGAATTGAACCTTAAATTATTAGGTTGTGATCCTCTCTATTGCTAATAGTGTGTTTTTCATCTAAAAATTAATTTTTCTGATATTAATATACCCACCCCAGCCCTCTTTTGGTCAGTATTGGTTTAGTGTATGTTTTTCCTTTCCTGAAAATTTCATCTTTTCTGGATCTTTATATATATTTTTAAAGATTTTATTTATTTATTTGAGAGAGATAGAATGAGAGACAGAGAGCACGAGAGGGAAGAGGGTCAGAGGGAGAAGCAGACCCCCCGCTGAGAAGGGAGCCCGATGTGGGACTCAATCCTGGGACTCCAGGATCACGACCTGAGCCGAAGGCAGTCGCTTAACCAACTGAGCCACCCAGGCGCCCCTGGATCTTTATATTTTAGGTGTGCCTCTTATAAATATCATATAGATGAGTTTTGTTTCTTTATCTGAGTCAAAATTCTCTTTTAACTAGTAGCATTGATACATTGACATTTATTTTGATTACACATATATTTGGACTTGTTTTTACCTTTTTGGTATTTTTATTTGTACAATTTTTTCTTGGGGCACCTAGGTGGCTCAGTCAGTTAAGCATCTGTCTTCGGCTCAGGTCATGATCTTGGGGTCCTGGGATCAAGCACCGTGTTGGGCTCCCTGCTTAGCAGGGAGTCTGCTTCTCCTTCTCCCTCTACCCACCCCATCACTCGTGCTCTCTCTCTCTCACTCTCTCAGATAAATAAATAAAATCTTTTAAAAAATATACAATTTTGTGGGGTACACAATTCTAAGTTATTTTTTTCAAAATACTTTGAAGATGTTATTCAACTGTCTTCTGGATTTCATTGTTGCTATTGGGAAACCTGCTTTCAATCTAATAGTAATTCCTTCATAGGTGATCTGACTCTTCTTTCTGGATACCTTTAATATCTCCTTTTTGTTTTTGGTGTTCCTCAATTTAACCTCCATGGTGTATATGTGTGTGTGCATGCACACACAGAGAAGGGAGTCCTTGGAGATCTCCCTTACGTCTCATGATCTTAGCAGTTCTCTAAAAAGTATATTTTAATCACAATCTAGTTGTTTTGTAAGAGGAAGGTCCTTCGGAGTACTGGTATATTATATTCCAGAAGCAGAAGTCTGTGTGATTGTTTATATATGCACAATCCTCTGTGTGCACATCCCCCTGCAATTCTCCTACTCAAAGTGTAAACCCTTCAGGTCAGGAGATTTTAATTTTTGTTTCTCACTATCTCCCGACAACCTCTCAGTACTTACTCCCATGGTCAGGGTCGACTGGCTGCCCTGTGGGGTTTACACTTGTTGGGGGAAAGGGAAGAATGCTGGGAGAGCAGTGGTGGGCCAGGCCTCCCTCACGGTGCACTCTGTCCTCCCCACTGTCTCTTCCACAGCTCTGCCCCCACGGGCTACACGTCCTTCAGCATCAATGCCTCCCCAGGAGTGGTTGTGGATGTTGCCCATAGCCCTACAGCCAAGAAGAATCCCACAGGTTCCTCCAAGTGGTCCCTGGACCCTAGCCTGGAGGTGAGCCTGAGGATGAAAGCTGTGAGCAGTGGCACAGGTGACCAGAAGGTGAGTGTGGCAGCCATGGGGTGCGATGTGTGGGAGGAGGTCAGCAGGTGGCAGCAGGTCAGCTGCTCAGTCCGTCCCGCACTGATCCCCAGCCCTAGCAGAGTTTCCTTCTCTCTGGATACTATAGAGACTGTTCCAGCCATAGGCATCCTCACAGACAATACAGGGATGCCAGGGGTTTAGGGAAGCCGGGTGTTTACTAAACTCATCCATTCAGCAAATGTTTAGTATTCACCTCCTACATGCCAGGCAGTGCCAGGCACTGGAGACACAGAAAGGAACCCGTGGGGGCAGAGCTGTGGAAGAGACAGTGGGGAGGACAGGTGAGGCTGCAGCCTGCATGGGGCTTACATCCTATGGGTAAAATACAGGTAAGCCATTATGAGTGGTGGCAAGTGCTATGAGGCCACAGCCAGGCAGCCCTGGGAAGCTCTGGTCCATGCCCTTTCCCCGTGACAAATGACCAGAAACTACTGGCTTAAATCAACAGAAAGGTATTATCTCAGGAGGACAGAAGTCCAAAATCAGCAGCACTCCTTCTGGAGGCTCTAGGGAGAACCAGTTCTTTGCCTCCTTCAGCTTCCTAGACCAGCGACCGTGTCACTCCAATCTCTGCCTCCGTGGTCTCGTTGCCCCTCCTCAGGCTGTCAAATCTCCCTCTGCCTCACTCTTATAAGGACACAAGTCACTGGATTTAAGGCCTCCCTGGATAATCCATAATGATCTCATCTCAAGACCCATAACTACATCTGCAAAGACCTTTTTTTCAAATAAGGTCACAGTCACAGGTTTCAGGCATTCAGATATGGACATATATTTTGGGGGACCACCACTCAACCCATTGCATCCCCTTCAACTGTAGATAAGCTCAACAGGAGCCTCTGGGGTTCCCCACAGAGATCTGAGCCAATGAGCACTCGTTTCCAGTAGGACAGGCCATTCGGTTTTCCCCTTGGGACAGAGACTTCTTGCTTACTATAGGAGCATAGAGCTTGGCCATCAAAGTAGGTTGGTGAGGGTGCAATCAGGGAAAACTTCCTGGAAGAAGTGGCAAGCCGAAGGATGGTAGGAATGACCCACCTAAGAGAGGGAAAGTGGAGTGACAACTCTACATGGGGTATGTGGCCTGTGTGCACAGTCCAGATGAGGAGATGGTCAGGCATGTGTTGGGGAAACTGAGGAAGATATGTATGGCAAGGAGAGAAGGTGAAGAGGGAAGTGGAAGAGAGAGGAAACCAGTATTAGAGTTTGGCATCAGGGACCTCATTTTCTGAAGGCAACAGGAAGCCAGTAAAAACCTGTCATCCAGGGAGTAACAAGTCTGCATTTGTCTTAGAAAGACCCCACTGGCTGCAGTGTCCTGAGTAGATTGGATCTAGGCAGTCGCCTAGAGGCTGATGCCATGTTCTAGATATGAGGTGATGGTGGCTGTGACATTTCCCTGGGTCTCCACTATCTACAGGACAGACTCAGACACCTCAGTCCATCCCCTTAGCAGTGTCTCTTCTTCTGGTGGCAGTTCTTTGGTTTTGCATTGGGGAACTCACCTCTGCCATTTTGCTTAAAAGTGTCCATCCTGATGCTCTGCCTTCCTCTGGCCAGGGTGGGCCAGTCAGGTCCACTCTTCCTGGATTTTGAACCCTGGGCAGTGGGGGGTTGGTGTTTCTTGACCTCGACCTGCCCTGAAGAGACCAGCTCCCATCCAAAGCTTCCGCTCCCCAGATCCTCAGAGGGCTCGGGCTCCAGCTTTTCCAAGGTCTGGTTCTTCAGGTCCTCTCCACCCCTTCTGCTTGCCAGAGCCAGTTTCTGTGGCTTACAGTCAGTGCCCTCCCTCTGATGCCCCCTCCACCACGTCTCCAGCTGCGGAGCTCCTACTCCTCCCTCAAAGTGTATCTCCCTGATACCACCCAGGCTGGCTCAGCCCTTCCATTTCTGGGCTCCCACAGAACCCTTGTCTAAGTATCATAGGCATTTGAGTACTTTGCTCCCCCCCCATGCCCACCAGTTGGGGTGCTTTTATAGGCTGGCCCCACTTCTTGCTCATCCTTGTCTCCTCAGCATCTCACCCTGAACTGGCACAGAGCAGCAGTCCAGATAGTATTTGTTGAATGACTAAGAGAAGACCTTCGTGGTTTCCTCTGTCCTTTAGGTTCAGATTTCATATTATGGACCCAAGACCAACCCCGTCCAAGCCCTGCTCTATGTCACCGGTGTTGGTAAGTGATGACCAGGACCTTGGGATGCCACTGCCCCTCTCCACACACACAACACACCCTTGCAAGGTGTCTCTCTCCAGGAGAAACTACACTCTGGAGCTTACTTTAGACTGCGCAGAGAAAAGGGACAATTTCTAGCTAGTCATACATCTGGTGGTTCATAAATATTCCCTCCCCAGTCAGTGAACCATAAAGTAATTCAACTGGGGAGAGACAGAGGGCATTTACAGGGAGTTCACTTACATCTTAATATTTCTTGACATACGAAGTGGTACGTGGATTTTCCACATATGAGTCTCTATACCTTTTTGGCACTTCAAATATTTATATTTGATGACACTGTTTTATACAATAATATATAATATTATATACATATATATATAGACTGATGTTCCCGAAATGCCATGACTTACATCCCATCTTCACTGTTTTGCCATATCAATGATCTGCCTAGACTCATATTTATTTAACATTCTTCTTTAAATAAAGTAATTTTCTAACTTGACCTCATATTGAACAGTAATATTATATGGTTATCATTACCATTGAAATGCATTAAATATCAGAACAGCGTGTGAAAACTTCAGGTTCCATTTCATTAATGAATTTCATTCGTTAATACACATTTATTTCATTAGTGCACATTTACATAATGGGAATAATATAGCACTAATTCTATACCAGGCACTGCATTAAGACTTTACATTTAAACCTTACAACAAATCCCATGAAATTGGTACGGTTACATCCCATTTTGCAGATAAGGAAACTGAGGCACAAGAGGTAGACAGATTTGCCTAAGTTCATGCAGCTGGTTAGTGAAGGAGCCGGGAATCCAGAGCACTAAACTCTATGCTGCTCTGGCACGACGTGTGTCTAAAAGGTCATCCAGGTTGGTCTCCCACTGTGAGCTCACAAGGTCACTACCTATGATGTGGGCACACGGACCTATGTCACTGGAAAGACTGTGATCATGTGTTCTGATGAGGGTGGGAAGGATTTAGAAACAGACATATGCTTTCTCAGCCTTGACATCTGGGTAGAGTAGACAAATCACTGCCATGATTTGTCCCCACTGCAGCCATAATGCATATTAGGAAGAGCCAGGTGGGGTAGGAGTAACCACGGTGTCCCCCACCCCAAGGTCACTGGAGTTGGGGCCAGAGGCCTTTGAGAGCCTGGCTAGGTGTCCTGGCAGGAGTTTTGCTTAAGTTTTGCTTAAGCATCCCATTGGGGTGGCCAGGAAATCTTTCTGAACCCCTGAAGGCCAGACGTATAGAGACTGGTTGGCATCACAGCTGCGTCAAGGCCCCCCCCAACCCCCTGCAAAGGAGAATGGGTGTAGTCAGAGGCTCCAGTTCTGGCTGAGTTGCAGTCCAACATCTTCTTTGGGGACACGGGGGTGTCTTTGAATTTGTGTCTCCTCGGAAGGGCGGGGAGAGAAGCCATGGGGCAGACAGTCTCCTGGGGACCACACTGAGTGCCTTGACCTTGTACCTTCACCAACCCTCTCCTCTTACTCGGTGGGATTGCAGAAATCTCCTTGAGCACGGACATCGCCCGCACTGGCAAAGTGAAGCCCGCTGGAGCCAAGAAGGGCCAGGTGCGCTCAAGCCTCTTGACACTCCAGGAGCTCTCTATCTCTGCTGGGTTCTCCTCTGGCGCCCCCTGGTAGTCATGGCATGAACGGCCGCCCGTCCCTCCAGGACGAACAAGGCAAAGGAGAAAACTAAAATCACCCTTACCATTTGGATTTGTATATTTCCCATCTCTTTTGCAAAACTAGATTTTCACTGGTTGTGAGTTTAGAGAATGTGTTGTGCAAATTAGAAACTACAGAGTCATCTGGTTAATGCACAGCAGAGAAAAAATTTGCAGGCCGTTCTTAACTCTGGCAGAAAAAAAAAAAATCCCCCGCACCCCAGGGTTTCCAGGCTGGTGGGAGAGATTCCCACGGTGCTGCCCACAGGGAGCGAAGAACAGAGAAAGGGCAAACTGGCAGGGGGCAGAAGAGGGAAGGAGCCACGCGGGGGCAGGGAAAGTCTGTTGCTCAGAGACAGTGGTGTATGCAGAGGTGGGGCATGCAGGTAGTCTTAACTGGGTCTGTGGATAAACCCCAGGGTGTTCCTGAAATCCCAAAGCCACCTGCACAGTTTAATGCTGGTGCGCACTTTAGGAGGATATGCCCTGTGAAAAGATGAAGATCCTTCTGTGGGTCAGCCAAAAGTAGAGGGAGGAATTACAACTCTGGGAGTGGAATCCGTCTTTCTGTCCCACCCAGAATGCTGTCATTCCTGGGGGCCAACGCTGTCCTGCAAACAGAAGATGTCATTTGCTATTAGATCCCTACCGGGAGGGGCTGCTTAATTTGCTTTAATCTTTGGACAGACAGCAACTGGCTGCTAAGAATAGTACCCACACTTTGGCGGATGGTAATTAAGAGTTCACATGAGAGTAACAATTTAGATTAGAATCTTGACATAAATATTTAGCTCAGCCGGTTTGCCAATCTGACAGTTTTTTTAAACCTGTTAAAATCAATTTTACTGTCATGGGGTCCTTTTTTGAAGTGGATGAATTGCATTTTTGGTGAATGTGTTTAGGATTTTTTTTTTTTTAAAGACTTTATTTATTTATTTGACAGACAGAGAGAGAGAACACAGCGAGAGAGGGAACACAAGCAGGGGGAGTGGGAGAGGGAGAAGCAGACTCCCCGCTGAACAGGGAGCCCGATGTGGGACTCGATCCTGGGACTCGAGGATCATGACCTGAGCCGAAGGCAGGCGCTTAAACGACTGAGCCACTCAGGTGCCCCTGTTTAGGATTTTTGGAGCAGGCAAACAACCCCCTCCTGGTACTAAAGAATTCGCTGATGTGGGAGCGAGATGTGTAAACCACACAAGGCTATCGAGGTGCTGGGGGAAGGTGGATATGCTTCCCCAAGAGTTGGAGGGACATACGCAGATTTCTGAACATGCCCCATCTCTGCTGGGTGTCCACAGAGGACCTGGACCTGGGGCCCCCACGGGCAAGGTGCCATCCTGCTGGTGAACTGTGACAAAGATAATCCCAAATCTTCCACTGTAGACTGCAAGGATGCTGAAGTGCTTGACAGCAAAGGTAAGGACCCCCACCCCCCAGCCTCCCTGCTGCCCAGAGAGCTAATGAAAATAGAGCTTTGTCTTTTTGTAAAGCCCTTGTGTCTATGCAGCCTGAGCTTAGTAACAGCCCTCAGAGATGGGGGTTATTGGAAGCATGTTCTTGTTAGCTTATCTGTTGCATAAGAAGAATGGACAAGGTCCCGAGAGGGTAAGTGACTCAGCCAAGGTCACACAGCAGCCAGAGAAGAGCTGGGACCAGGGCTGAGTCTCCCAATGCCTCCTCCGGTCCCCATGCTCCAGTCCACAGCCCAACCTAAATTTCTGCTCTTGGGTTAAACCTGGGACCCGAAATAATTTAAAATGAAAGCCGGGCTACTGCCCCAAAGTCCTGTCAGAGCAGCCCCGAGCACCTGCCACATGCTGGACGCTGTTCTGACCACTTCAGAATTATTAACTCATTTGGTCCTTCAGTACAAGGCTTGGAAGTACGTACTGTCCTCAGCCCCATTTTACAGATGGGGAAACTGAGGCATGGGGAAGCTAAGCAATTTGCTTAAGGTCACACAGCCAGTAAGTCACGGGCTCAGGATTTGGACCCAGGCATCCCGACACCGCGGTGGGTTTGGGGGCACAAGGATGGTGGTGGGCGCAGGGTCTCTGATGGCACCCCTCTGAAGTGTGGCTGGGATGGAAGAGGGCGCTGGGGGCGGGAGGTTGGCCAGCCACGGCAGCAGCTCGGGCCTTCCCAGGGAGTTGCTAGGACAGCATAGAAATGGATGCATTTTGAAGTTGCATGCAGTTGCCTCCGCCTGATGCCAAGGGGCAGCCTCTGTGCGGTGCGCGGCCCAGAGTAATAATCAAAATAGCCAGTACCCTTCGTGGGCGCGCCCAGGATGCCGTCTGCTGCAGTACGCACTTCATACATATGCCCTCACTCGTCCCTCTGCCTGGGCACTACTCTTAGCTCTGTTTACTGACAAGGAAGAAGAGGCACGGAGAGCTGAAAAAGCTCCCAGGCTCCCACAGATCCAGGGCTCGAACCCACCGCCTCCAATTCCCTTCACCCGGGGACTAATGCCCAGTGGGGACCACCGTCCAGCTTCGCTCTCCCCCGCCTTTGTTGGCCATTATTCGGGTTGGTTCACTTCCCACTCAGGCCCAGGGGAGAAACCCATCCACTCATCATTCCACAAATAGTTACCAAGCCACCTGCCATGCACCAGTCCTTGTTCTAGGTGCTTCTAGATGCTTCTAGGCTCCAGGGGCTGGGGACAGAGCAATAAACAAGACAGTCGTGGCCCCTGCTTCACTGAGCTTGCCTCCTAAGCTCATTCTCTTGGGAGAGGGCCAAAAACGTAATTAGCTTTAATTCCGAAATGAAAATCATTATTTAAATCCTGATAAGAACATGACGAAAATAAAACCAGGCGATAGGGTCGGGGGTGGGGGGGGGTCTGAGGGGAGTGGTGAGAGAGGAGAGAGTCTTCTCGTTCCAGACCTGCAGGACATGTCCCTGGTGACCCTGTACACCAATACTCCCAGGGACTTCACCAAGCACCAGCTGCTCCTCCACGTGGCCAAATCGGAGATGGACAAAGTCAGGGTGTTTCGAGCCAGCCGTGAGTCGCCCTTGGCCCTCACCTCGGGGTCCCCTTTCTGCCCCAGCACAGCCCCTTCGCATACCCCTTCAGCAAATAATTCTTGAGCCCCAGTTCTGTAGCACGTTCTAAGAACCAGGGATAGAGCAGTGAGCAAGATGGACACCCTGCCGCTCCCTTCTAGAAAGGGCACACAGACAAAATGCCAACAAACAAGAAGCTGATGTCTGGTGCTAGTGAGCACCAAGGAGGAAATAGCCTCCCTCCCAAGGACTGCTGTGACTGTGTTTGTCTCTTTCTCTCTGCCACACACACACACACACACACACACACACACGACTCTTGTTTACAGAGGTTGTTGAATCCAAGCTGACTGTGTGTGTTATGTAATAGTGTGTTCTCCAGCACCCTGCTCATCAAAGACAGCATTAACTTCTCAGCAGCTCACAAGCAACGAACAGAACAAAGCCCCTCGTGTCACTTTCCTCTTGGGGGGTTGAGAGAGACCATGTATAAAATAATTAAGTAAAACCTCTAGTGTGTCTGATGGCATTAAATGCTATGCAGAAGAATGAAACAGGGAAGGGGGTGTGGATGAGGGGTAGAGTCTGGGGTGTGAGGAGAAGGGGTTGGGGAAAGCTGCCCCCATAAGGTGTCATTTGAGCAAAAGGCGGTGGGGAACAGCCACGCAGACACCCAGGGGAATGGCATTCCGGGCGGAGGGAACCTCAAGTGCAAAGGCCCTGAGGTGCAATCGTGCCTGTGGGCTTGAGGGAGGCAGGCGGGGAGGCCAGTGTGGCTGGAGTGCAGGATACCAGCGTTAAGGTGGTGGATGAGGATGGAGAAGGGGATGTCGGCATGGACGTGGGGGAAGCCATCTGAGGGCTTTGTGCAGAGGCACGACTTGATCTGACTTACTTCCGTTCTAGATCAAAGTGATTGAACTGACAGTGATTTAGTGACAAACCAACTCTTGGCCCCTGCTGAGGCATCACCTCCTCCAGGAAGCCTTTCCTGGCCCTCCGGGGTTCTCTCCATCACAGCACTCATTACCATTGTGATTTTGACTGTCTCTGCTCCTCCTCCCTCACCCAGGAGGCTGCGTACTCCGTGGGGACCGGGACAGTGACTACCTCCCTGGTCTCCCCAGGTGTCAGTTGAGAGCAGGTGCTCAGGAATGAATGAACGAATGAATGAACCATAATGTGTATTGGACTTGTATGTATATGATTGGGAATGGCTCAGGCACCACCCCATCACTCTATCCCTGGACCCCCAGCCAGGGGGCGATGTCCCACCTGACGCTTTAGTTTCTTTCTCCTACGGGGGGCTCATTTAGCTGTGACATGTCATCCTGAGAGTGGTGGCCCTGGGAAGGTATCACAGCACTGGGGAGACGAAGACCTGAGCCCCCTTCTCTCCACTAGGGGGCAAACAGGTCTCCAGGTACAGGCTGGTCCTGGGGCCACAGCAGCCCAGTCACCCCCTGGAGCTCCCAGGCGGCCAGCACAGCGTGGACTTCTACGTGGAGGGCCTCGCTTTCCCAGACGTCAACTTCCCGGGGCTCATTTCCCTCACCATCTCCCTGCTGGACCCGTCCAACCCGGTAGGCCAAGATGGCAGCCCAAGGGGAGACCCGAGCTACTGGGCCTCGGCCCAGCTCGAGGGTCGGGGTGCAGAGCCCAGTCGGGAAGCGGTAGGTGTCAGGCCCCGGCTGCCGTGACAGTAACAGCCCTGGGTTCACCCATGCCTCACAGGAGCTCCCTGCCACCCTGCTTTTCCAAGACAGCGTGGTCTTCCGTGTGGCCCCCTGGATCATGACCCCCAACACTCAGCCCCCGGAGGAGGTGTACGTGTGCAGGTGAGGGCCCTGGGGTGTCAGGGGGTGGGGCATAGATGCATCAGGAAGGGTCCTGGGTTCTGGCCACAGGGCGCCCCCTGAAATATCTGCTGTGTAAATGGGGAAAAATGACCCCTACTGCAACATGCCGAGGGCTTCTGGCCAGTTTGGAATAAAAAGGCAGGGAAATTCCTGTTGCTATTGTTTTGTCCTCACTCTCCTGCCCTAATATGCAGGCGGAGGGCGGCTTTCTCTCCTGAAGGCCCATAGCGTTTGCGAGACGTGGCAGATGAAAACCCTCAGTCCACGAGCCAGCCTGCCAGGGCTCAGTGGGTGGCCGGTGGACCTTCCGCACCAGAAACCACTTCAAATGCATGTTTCTGGCCAACCTCAGAACTGGGGGGGTCTGGGGTCTGGGGAAGGGGCCCATCTGCCTTTTAACAATCTGCTCTGGGGAGCCTTGGCATCCACCTTGCCATCTGAGAGCACCTGTTGAGTATGCTGGGGTCTCAGGGACACCCTCCCCTCTTCTCTTGTGGTTGCTTCCAGGCAGAAGGGGTGAGGGGTGACCTGGTGGTTGCCTGGAGGTCAGGACGGAGGCTGAAAGCCAGCGAGTCCTGGGTTCAAATCCCGGTGCTGTCTCCCCAGATGGCATGACCTTGAGTGTTGACCTCTTCATTGTGGCTTCTCCCGGATGGAAGGGCAACCAGCTAGTCCCCTCATGGGTTGTTGCAAGAGTTCAGTGAGATGTTTGCTAAGAGCAGAGAGACAGGATGAGCCGGGCATCTCCATCCAGGCCACAAGCATCTCCTGAGCAGCCACTTGCCCTTCCCCCACTCCGCCCAGGCCTGAGCTTTTGCTCCACCCCTAGGGACCCTGCAGGGGTCCCTGGCCAAGGCCACTGTCCACTGAATCCAGAGCACTAAGGGGCTTCTTTTCTGCTCTTTCTAGGGTGCTTGAAAACGCAGACTTCCTGAAGTCAGTGACAGCTCTGGCCAGGGAAGCCAAGTGCAAGCTGACCATCCCCTCCAAGGAGCAGAGCAAGGATGACCGGTGGATGCAGGTATGTGGCCCTGTGGGGCGGGGGTGAGACACACCGGGTGGATCTTCCTGAGGGTCAGGGGACACTGGAGGCCCCAGGCTCCTGGGGCTGGGCCTAGAGGCCTGCTGGCCACCCTTCCTCAGATGGGCAGGAAGTGAGGAGCCTCTGAGGGTCTGGGCATGTGGGGACTCAGGCAAGTGATTAAAGCGACGTTTAAGGCCAGCCCCTCCCTGCCTGCCATGGTCACCAAGATGAAAGCCACCTCCCTGCCTGAAAACTCTCAGGTGACCTCCAGAAATGACGCAAAGCTCAAGGGGTTGGCGCCCGACCAGTCCCTCCTGTGGCCCTCCCTCCAAGCCAACCCTCCTGGGCTCAGCCACCACACCAGGCCACACCCCTGCTCCATCCAGCACTTTCCATGGTTCCCACCTCCTCCCCCTCAGCCTGCTTCCAGGGCCCCCACCCCCAACCTGGCTGCCCCGCACCTTTTGCAAGCCAGCTGTCCACCCTGTATCACTGTTCTGTTTCTGCGCCAGGCTCCCTCATCATGCCATGAGCTCCCTGAGAGCAGAAACTGAGTCTCACTCAGCTCAGCACCCAGCACCCGGCATGGGGCAGTGGCTGCCGACTGGACCTCGTGAGCCTCCTCACCACTTGCTTGCTTTCTCGGGCTCTTTGCCCTTCCATGCCATTCGCCCTGCTCCCAGCACCTCTGTGCCTCTGCTCATGCTGTTCCTTCTCTCCGCTGTCCTCCCCGGTCCCATCGCCAACACCCAGGTCCCGCTTGTACAATCCCAGCTCGAAAGCTTCCCCTTCAAAAATCTTCTGCCCCTTTGGCGAAGCTGGGTCTGACCTGCCCCCCCTTCTCTGCCAGTCCCAACACCATCAGGAGCCTCTCCTTCCCGGCCCATCACCTCCTCACTCTGGGTTCTAGGTGACCAGCTCCCTGAGGACAGGGCCTGAGGCTCACTCACCGAGTCCCCAGCAACCGCAGCACCCAGCTCCAGCACTCACCAGGAGTGGGGGTGAGCCCATTTGTGCACACACAGAATAATAAGCTCTGCTTCCTCAGAGTCCCTCCTCTGGGGTCGAACACTGCACAGGAATTTGCCCTTGACCACAGCGGGAGAGTGAATGGTCCACACCCCCCTCCCTGCGCTGGGTGTCACGACCTGGACAGCAAGCCCATCAGCCCTCCTTCCCCTCGCTCTGCACAGGACGAGATAGAGATCGGCTACATCCAAGCCCCGCACAAGACCCTGCCTGTGGTCTTTGACTCTCCGAGGAACAGGGGCCTGAAGGATTTCCCCGTCAAATACATGCTGGTAGGTGCTGGTGGGGCCTGCGACTGCTGAGATACCCCCCGCTCGAGGCCTCCTTCCTCACCACCCGCGGCTGAGCACCCCGGCTCCGTAGTAGGTGCGCTTCCTGCTGGGGCAGCAGTCACTCGGGTGGGCTGCAGTATTTCTGTCATCACTGAGATGAGATCTGGCTCTCCCTTTCCTGGAGCTCTTTCCAGCCATGAGCTCAGCCTGTCCCCTACCAAGGACATCAGATCAGGCTGCGGCATCCTTGTCCCACTGAAGATGCTCTTGCTGCAAGGTGTGGGTGGGACCAGGACTGGAACCTTCCCCAATATCCGGCTGGAGGCTCTGTCTTTGGTGGGGGGTGGGGGGGCTTTGTGGTGGGTCCATCTGGGATATGGGGTGGGTTTGGGGATCAGAGTGGTCATTGCTTAGATGTGACTCTGCATGTGTTTGGGGGCGGGGGTGGGGGTGACATGTTGGTGAATCATGCTGGACTAGCCCGGCAGGTTCGCGTAAACTCAGCACAGAATTATAATCCTAGGAATAGTTATATTTATTGAGCATGCATTCTGTGTCAGACACGATGCCAAATTCTTTACAAGCACTGACTCATTTAATTTGTCCAGCAACCTTTAATCTAAATGCTATCACTAGGCCCATTTTATAGATTAAGAAACTGAGGCTCAGAGAGGGGCAGCCACTTTTCCAAGGTCACACGAAAGGGGAGGAGAAGCTGACACTGAAACTAGGCGGGTCTGGCCCGGCGAGCTCTGTGCCCAGCATGCCGCCAAGCGCGCACCCCAGGCGCAGGGAGCCCCTGAGTCCAGGCGCTGGGGAAGTGCAGAGGAAAGAGTGTGGGGCGTGGGGTGCAAGGTCTGCTCCGAAGAAAGGCTTTCCAGGGAGCACCCTGTGCCCCAGGGAAAGGGAGGCGGCCCTGCCCACACAGGAGGCTTTGAAAGGAAATCTGAGTTCAACTCAGCAACTTGTCCAAGTCTCGCTCACTCTCCTGAGCTGAGTGGTGCCAACGCAGAGATTTTGTAGGGTCCACCGTGTCTCTCCGCCCGGAATCAGGGTAATCCTGTTTCAGGACCCCCGCTGGCCTGCTGGGACCGTGGTCCCTCCCACTGGTTGCAGCCCTGCTCTGCGCAGTGGCCCGTCCCCCTTTCCACATGCCCAGTGTGACAGAGGCCAGATTCTCTGGTGTCACCAGCCACATCTCCAGAGTCCTGCCAGGCAGACAGATGCCTCAGCACAGGGGTCCTCCCCTCTCCCACACCCAGCCTGGGACGAGGGGCTGCGATGTGTTCATAGGCAAGCACGGCTGTGGTTTTCTGAGTCACATCACTCAGGAAGAGAATTGGGCTAAAAGTCAAACTTGTCACCAGACAACGTCCCCATCGGCTTTTCCAAAGTCATCATCATGGGCCACTTTCCCTGTCCCTCACCCAGCTCCAACCCCGCGGGCCTCCTTCCTGTTCTTCAAATGTGCCCAACTGCTCCTCACCTCATAGCCTTTGCATATGCTGTTCCCTCTGCCTCCAGTGCCCTTCCCGCTTCACATGGCTGACTGTCCCAGCCTTCAGGTCTCTGCTGCAGTGCTCTCCTCAGTGAGACCATCCCTGATGCTGAAGGACACCCCGCCTCAGCCCCTGGCATTCTCGGCTACAGCACCTCATTGGTTTTTTCAGGAGTGTTCTGTTATAAATCACTGATTTCTTATTTCCCTTTTGTTGTTTCCCTGCTAGACCGTCAGCACCAGCAGGGCAGGGTCTGAGGCCGTGGTGCCCATCACTGCTCACAGGTCGCTTAGCACCCAGCTTGACGCTCACTGGGTATTCTTCCCGTCAGACAATGTCAGTAAGCGTTATACCACCTTTAAGTGGAAAACCAGCGGTACTTATCATAAATAGAAGGCAACCGTGAAGGTAAACAGAATTAAAACAAAACAATGCTATTAAAGCCAGCTCGATACGAATGAGTGCAAGAGCTGAGCCAAGGTTTGCTCTCCGGTTAGTGAAGTGGGAGATCAGCAGTTTTCAAGAATGGATTTGCACACTCTGGGTCTTCGGTGAACAGAGACTGGAGGAGAGCAAACAGGGTGACACGTGTCTAAGTCTGTGCCGGAAGCTGCATCAGGTAGCACGTGGGAGCGTCCCCTGCACCTCCCACTCCTGGGGGGCCACTTCTGCAAGGGGGGCACCTTCATTTGCCTTCAGAAATCCAAGCCTGCAGCCTGTGGAACTGAGCCGCTTTCGTGGCAACGGCCAAGGCAATGACTTATGTGGATTTTTCATTCATTCATCCACTATTCTTTGAGCCCGTTCTCTGTGCCCAGCCTTGCTCCAGGCACTTGGAATGTGTCGGTGAGCAATGCCAAGGATCCCGCCCCCACAGAGGTGACATTCTAGCCCAGAAAGACAGACCATAAACAATAAGTACAGTGGATAAATAAATTATATTGTATATTGGAGAGTGGAATCCAGGGCTATAGGAAGAAAAAAACAGAATCAAGGGGCTCCCAGGTGCCAGAGTGGTGGGGGGATTACATTGCAAATTTAAATAGGATGGTCAGGGTAAGCCTGACCTTTTTGAGGTGACCTCTTTGAGAAGCGGACACTGGAGCAAAAACTCCAAAGAGGTGAAAGAGTTGGCTGTATGGATGTCTGGGTGAAGAGTATTCTAGGCAGAAGAAACAGTCAGTGCAAAGGCCCTGAAGCAGCAGCAAGACTGGCATGTTCAGTGAAGAGTGAGGAGCCCAGAAGGGGTGGAGCAGAGCTAGCAAGAGGAAGGGTGGGATCTCTGTGCCTCATCTACTGAGAATGAACACCATTCTCAGCGATCAGACTGTCGACGTTCCAGAAAATGTCATCACTCTGAAGGGATGTGCTGCTATTGCAAAGGGCCCTAGGGAGCCCTGCGGAGGGACTTCAATCACATCAATGTAGAAGTCAGTCTCCTTGGAAGGAAGAAGAGGCTCTAAGTGGACAAATGGGCACTAGAATGAACTGGCTGCCGTTCGCCCTATCTGTACTATCTGGAGTTTCGTACAGAACGTGGTCAAGGGCGTGGCCCCGGGTTTCCGTTACAAGATGAGGTCTGGGTACACTCACTTCCCCATCAACGTCATTATTCAGGAGAATGGTTCTTTTGTTGAAATCCAAAATTTCCTGGGTGAAAAATGTGTCTGCAGGGTTCAGATGAAGCCAGGTGTTGCTCGTTCAGTATCTCAAGCCCAGAAAGATGAGTTAATTCTTGAAGGAAATGACATTGAACTTGTATCAAACTCAGCTGCTTTGATTCAGCAAGCCACAAGAGTTAAAAATAAGGATATCAGAAAATCTGGGGAGGTATCTATGTTTCTGAAAAAGGAACGGCTCAGCAGGCTGATGAGTAAGATCATACGTTGTCCAGCTACAGAAACAGCAAGATGCCGGATGATTTTTCAGACCTATTTGTGATATTTGAAAGATGCAATAAAAGCTGTATTGATTTGGAGGAGGGGGAAATGAAGGAAGGGTGGAAGGAGAGACTGTCAGAGAGGTGATGGGGACTGAGTGGGGGGCAGGTCCTGTGGGCCACTGCAAGGCTATTTGTTTAAACTCTGGGAAAATGGGGATTGTTGCAGGGTCTTAAATAGAGGAGGATTATGACCTGATGAGTGTTATAAAAGGGAAGCTCTGGCCCCTTGTTGAGAATGGACGACGGGGGGCGGGGGCAGGCGGTGTGGAGGTGGGGGCAGGCACAGTCGCTGGTGAGAGGCGATGGGGGCGCAGACCTGGGGAGCAGGGTTGGGCGCGGGAAGTGGCCACATTCTGGACATGCTTTGAGGGCCGAGCCAACAGGATTCCCTGACCTCTATGAGAGCGAGGGAAGCCAAAGGTGACAGCAGGCTTTGACATTTGTGAGCAGTGGCCACCATTCCCTGAGCTGGGGAGGACTGTGGGAGGGACAGGGGATGAGGGTAGAGGGGTCAGCAGTTCCATTTGGGGCAAGTGTGAGCTATTTGGTGGACATCCGAGTGGGAAGTCAAGCGAGCGGTGGATGCCCGTCTGGGGCTGGTGGGGAAGTGCAGACAGGAGGTAGATATGTGGGGTTGTCGGCACATGGTCGGTGTTCGGTGAGACTAGGTGACAGCACCAGGAGGAAGAGAATTATAGAGAATAAAAGACTAGGGACAAGGCTGGGGGCACCCCATCCCATGCACAGGAGACTGAGGGGCAGGACCCAAGAGCCTGCAGTGTCAGGAAGGCCAAGCGCAGAGAGTGTGCAGAGGACATGGGTGTGACCAGCAGACTCCCCCAGTGCTGAAGGGCACTGCCCTTTGGGCTCAGCTTGTGGTCATGAAGTTTCCAGGGCACAGTGGGCATGGGAGTCAGGCTGGCATGGGTGTTAGAGAGGAAGGGAGAAGAGGGGTTGGGAACGACCTCCCTTTTGTAGAAAGCTAGGGCTAGTGCAGTAGACAAAATGGTGGTGCTCAAACACAGCCTTGTGCTAATCCCTGGGACCTGATGCTTTCTTATGGCAAAAGGAGTTGGCAGATGTGATTAAGTCAGGGACCCTGAGATGGGGAGGTGCCCCTGAGTTATCTGGCAGGCTCTCTACCATCATGGTGCTCCTTGGAAGAGGGAGGACGGAGTGGGAGAAGGCATGTGATGGTGGAAACACAGGACATAGCGATGCACCTTGAAGACGAGAGAAGAGACCACCAGCCACGCAGCCACTAGGAGCTGAAAGAACAAGGAAACAGACTCAGAGGCTCCTGAAGGAACCAGCACCCCCACACCCTGATGTTAGCCCCGTGAGACTGCTTTCAGACTTCTGACCTCCAGAGCCAAAAGAGAATACATGTGTGTTGTTTTAAGCCCCTACTGGATGTGTTCCAGCAGCTATAGGAAATGCATAGAGGGGATGAGATGTGTCACCCACCCATTCTTCCCACGAAGATCCAAGCGGGGATGTCACAGCCACTGGGTGAAGCCAGTTCCAGCCCAGTCGGGAAGCAGCACGGTGTGGTCCTAGAGGGCTTGCTGGAGAGACAGCTCAGATCCCTCCACCAGCAGGCTGTGGGGCCGAAGAAGCCACCCACTGCTCTGACCATCCTTCTTCTCTGCAGAATGAGGACAAAAATGATACTTTATAGATTCGTTGTTACACCTGAGTTAAGGTTTACAAAGCAGTGGGCACGCATGACGCACTCAGCAAGCGCTCAACCCTTTTCTTACCCCCTGAGTCAGCGCTCCTTCGGCATCCCCCAGATCATAGCAGCGTCTGCTCTGTACCAGCTCGGACCACTACCAAATCCTGCCTGTGGCTTGGCCCCCACCCTGTCCCCACGCAGGGGCCATGTTCTCTAATACTTGGCCCATGCCTCTCCCATCTCAGGGTCCAGATTTTGGCTATGTGACTCGAGGACCTGAAACAGGAGAGGTTACTACCTTCGACTCCTTTGGAAACCTGGAAGTGAGCCCCCCGGTCACGGTCGGGAGGAAGAAATACCCTCTGGGCAGGATCCTCATTGGGAGCAGCAGGTACCCCAGGTGAGGAGGGCAGGGACGGGAGGGGGAAGGGGAGACCCAGGGATGCCAAGGAAAAGCAGAGGCCGCAATGGAAGCCTCCCCTACTTGCTCCCAGCCCAAGGGCCTCAATAAACTTTAGGGACTTGGAGAGGAATCAAGTGCAGAGTGACAAATACAGCTTAGGAGCCCAGTAGACCCAAGCTCAAATTCCAGGTCAGCCACTTACACCCTTTTCCATCAGTGAATATTTACTGAGCACCTACTGTGTGCCAGGCGCTAGGCAGGTGCTGGGAAGGAAGGCAGCCATGAGTGTGACAGACAAGGCCTTGCCGCTATCCTAGTGGGGGGAACACAAAGGTAAACAAATAAGATAATTTCAAATAGCAAAGAAAACAAAAAAGAGAGGGGCAGAGGAGGAATGGGAATGTTAGGGTGACTAAGGAGGGCCTTGCTGAGAAGACAGCTCTTGAGCTAAGGCCCGATGACAATAAGGACATGGCTGTGGGGAGATCTGAGATAGAGGGTTCCTGGCAGATGAAAGAGCATGTGCAAAGGCCCTGCGGCAGGACTGAACTGGGTGTGTTCAAGAAGGCCAGAGGGGCTGGAACAGACTGAGTGAGAGAGAGCAAAGGGCTAGATCAGGAAGACCCTTGGAGACCAGGGCAAAGAGAAAACTGAAGCCCATAGAGGTGAAGGAGTGTCCCAAGGCTACAATCCGACAAGGGATTACCCACTCAGGTTGGACCGGCTCTCCACATCTCTGTGGATAATATGGGCAAGCCCCATGTTTACCCACAACACCAGCATCTGGGCTGAGTCAATGGGCAGTGCTTTCTGAGGCTAAGCTCTGGTCTTTTTCACTGTACTGACTTGGTGCCTCAGTTTCCCCCCCAAAAAACTAGAATGGCAAATCGTAAATTCCTCCAATGTCCGAGGATAGAATAAAGGTATCCAGGCTTCTGAATCCCTTCCGTAGCTGAAGGAGAACCTCGACCCCTTTGCCAAGCCTCCATTCCTTTAGAGTCCCTCCTGTTGCCCCTCGCTCCCCGTAACGCTTCCTTTATCCTGTGTTGGCAGTGCTGAGAGCCAGGAGATGCACCAGGCCGTGCAGGACTTCCTCAGTGCCCAACAGGTGCAGGCCCCAGTGACGCTCTACTCCGACTGGCTGTTTGTGGGTCACGTGGACGAGTTCCTGAGCTTCGTCCCAGCACACAAGAAGGTGCAGTCTGGGGGCGCTGCCTGAAGGAGGCCACACGCCTGCTCCCTGGGCTCCCAAGCATTGCTCAGCACTCTGCTTGGTAGGCCCGGCCTTATATGCCTGACCAGCTTTCCCTCAACCCCAGGAGGGGGCACGAAGGAGATTGGCCAGCCTGGGTCCACGCCCACATTTCTGGGAGCCCCAGGGGCAAAGCTGACCTCTGACCCCAGTGTTTCTGCCTCTAGGGCTTCAGGCTGCTCCTGGCCAGCCCCAGGTCCTGCTACAGATTGTTTGAGGAGCAGCTGAAGGAGGGCCATGGGGAGGCTGTGCTATTCGAAGGCGTTAAGAGTAAGTTGGCTCTGCCTTGTTCTTCCATCCAGGGTCCTTCCTCTGCCTTCACGTAGTCTCCTATCACCAGATGGGGGTATTCGGGCAATGGCTACCTTCCGAGCACCTACTGTGCAGCAGGCATTGTGCTGAGCACTGGGGATGCTGTGTGAACAGGGCAGAGTAGCTCCCCGCTGTCACTGTCGGGGCTCACGGTCCTGGGGAAGTGAGTCAAATAAACAACAATGGCACAAGCGCTTTGGGAATATTTGGGAGGAGTCCAAGGGAGGCTTCCTGGAGGAGGCAAAGACCAAGCAGGAGCAGGAGGAATGAGCAGGAGTTCGCCCAATGGGGCAGTGGGTTGAGGGGAAGAATGATATCTCAGACAGAGGGAACAGTGAATGCAAAGGCACAGAGACAGGAGAAAGCGAAATGTGTTTGAGGACCTGAAGAAAGTTCAGTCTGGCTCAAATGCTGAATGAATGAATGAATGAATGAATGAATGAATGAAAGAAATTTCCCCGTCTGGCTGGAGCACAGAAGGAGATCTTAAAGTCCGCAGACATGGGCTGGGTCAGAGGTTGGTAAGTCTCCATGGCTGAGAATTTTTATCTAATATCAGGCAACGGTTAGACCTCTGTTTGCCTTTGGAGATAATTTAAGGGAGTGAGAGAAACACTTTTAAGGAGAGCTTACACTGATGAAATATTTTATTAAAGGCATCTGCCTCCTGGTTGCTCACAACGAACCTGTGAGCTAGAAATTATAACTGCACCCATTTTCTAGATGGGAAAACTGAGTCCCCACTGTGTCTACTGGGAAGAGGGAAATCGACCTCTGAATTCATCTGCATTCTTTTTTCTTTTTTCTCCATGACAGAAAAAAAACAGAAAATAAAGGACATTCTGTCAGACAAGAAACTGAGAGAACATAACTCATACGTGGAGGTATTAGCTGGGGTGCCGGGCAGACTGAACCACCCACCCCACCGCCTTCCCTTCCCTTGGAGGCTCAAGGTAGAGCCTCCCACCGGCTGCGTGTCGGCTTGGTGGCGAATGGCTTTGGGATTTGGGTAAATGTGTGTGGGACAGACAGACAGACTTCAGTCACCACTGTGGGAACACACGTGAGTGATGCGTGGAAAAGAAAGGAAGGAAGTCGAGAAAGCTGGAGCCACAGCAAGACAGGTGCAACTCTCAGAGACAGAGCGACCGGCAGGAGAGAGGCCAAGGGCTAGAGAGACACAGAGTGGCCGGAAAGACAGGGACACACAGGCAGAAGCCAGAGGCAGAGGGACTGAGCAGAGCAGAGCGAGGGAAGAAGGGAAGGAAAAGAGGTGTGCGTCACTGCCTTCCTGACCCTGTCCCTGGTCCTTCCCTTGGCCAGGCCTCAGCCCCAGACCGCCCTCCCCCACCGTGGTCCCCACCCCCTCCTCGCGGCGGCCCTGCTGTGCCCTGTCACCCCCACCCTGGCCCTGCACCCTCTCATTGGCCCCCCCCAACCCCGGCCCTCCACCCTCTCTTTGGCCCCCTCCACCCCTGCCCGAGTTGGCCCGGCCATGCCCACCGCCCCCCACCTCCCCACCCCAGAAATGCATCAACTGGAACCGGGAGGTGCTGAAGCGGGAGCTGGGCCTGACCGAGCGGGACATCATTGACATCCCCCAGCTCTTCGAGCTCCAGGAGGATGTCAGGGGGATCCTCAAGGCCAAAGCCTATTTTCCAAACATGGTGAGGAGGTGGTCTTTGGGGTCGGCCCGCCTTTGCTAATGGCCTTAAGTCAGGGACGCTGGGCGCGGATCCGGGGGGCTTGGCTGTCTGCTTGGGGTCCGCGTGGCTCACAGGGCGGCTCTGGGCATCTCACAACCGCCCTGGGAACCCGAGACTCTCACCCGCTCCCACTTCGCAGATGAGGCACAGAGAGGTCAGGTCTCTGGCGCAAGAGCACACAGCTGGTAAAATGGGATTTCGAGCTAGGGTTCCCAGCCGGGGGTCTGGCTGCAGAGCCCATGCCCTCACCACGTGGCACTGCCCCCTGAGGGCTTCCCTGAGTAGGGTGCTGCGGGTGTGCGGCGGACGGAACAAGCAGCCAACACCGGCATGTTCACCTGCAAAGAAGCGGGGTCCCAACCCCAAACGCGGGGTCGCGTTTGGAAGGGATCGAGGTGGGGCACCGTTTCAGACGGGGTGGTCCGGGAAGGCTGCTCCGAGGGCGTGAGGCTAGCCCTGCCCAGGCTGGGTGGCTTCTCTCCTCTGAAGGGTGGACTTGACGGGGAGCCCGCCTTTGTCGAGAACTTTCAACTGTGACCGCCCCCCTCCCCGCCAAGCACCATCTCAAAGCCATCTATTGTATTTTTACCATGCCTGTGCCCTGACTCTGTAGCTCCAAAGGATACCCGAGGGCCAGGCAGAAACCTCAGCGGGTGCTCCTGGGGCCCCTCAGCCGCCCTCTCCTGCTGGGGCTGGAGGTCACATTCAGGGAGGAGCCCGAGCCCCTGGCACAGAGGATGCCAGACTGGTTTCCCCAGGTCACTGGGGTTCCAAGACTGTGCCTCAAAGCCAGTGGTTTGGGTTTGTTCTGTTTTGGGCATCAAGGTACCGCAGAAGATTTTATTTAGAAGAAGAGGTTCTGTGGTTAAAACAAGGCAGGAGGGGGCACCTTGACTAAAATTCCTTGGCCCCAAGCGTTTTGTTTCTCCATGTCAGCCCAGCCGGGTTTCCTAGGCAGGAAAGAAGGCTGATGCCGGCGGCCAGGGGATGAGGCATCACGAGTGAAGTCATCAGCTCCACTCTGTGCCTTGGCTGCTGGAGGCTCTGGAAGGAGCCTGAGCATGAGCTGTCACTCACCCCAGGAGCCCGCGGTGAGAGGCGGGGGCGTGGGCGTGGGCGTGGAACGGGCAGAGAAATTCAGGGTGCAAGACACTCAGCAGGGGCTGTGTCTGGACCATAACAGAGAATGAGAGGCCCTTCCCTGACTCCTGAGCCCTGGAGACTGACCCTGCACCTGTTCCTGAGCATGACATCTAAACGTCACAGTAACAGAAACCCATTTGGGCTCATGTTGCTGATGAGGCTCAGAGAGGTGAAGTGACTTGCCTAAGGTCACACAGCTATTGAGTAGCAGGGCTGGGATTCAAACCCATGTTGGCCTAGAGCCAGAATCCTCCTCCTTTCACCTCCCAGTATAAGAGAGAGAACAGTTATTTCCATAAATGACAATACATGGAGAGTGCTACCAAGAAGGTAATCATGTATTCATCCAGTCATGGGATATTTACTAAGTGCTGGCTACGGGCCAGGCCCCGGGCTGGCAGCTGTGGGGGCAGCAGAGAGGAGGAGCACTAACTAACAGAGCCCAGGGACTCATGGGCGGCTTTGCAGAGGGGGTGCCACCTGAACTGAGCCTTGAGTAATAGAGAGTTTGCCAGAAGGTGGCAGGTTCGGGAAGGAGAGAACATGGGCCCTGGAGTCTGACAGATTTGGGTCTGAGGCCCAGACCAGCGGGGTGGCCGGAAGTAGCCGACTTTACCTTTCTGGGCCTCTGTTTCCCCATCTGTGAAGCGGGGCTGCTATTTTGGAAGGTCAGAAGGAAAAGCGGACCCACGGGCAGTGAGGCAGGCTGCACGCCTTTGGCCCTGGGCTGGGACCCCGCTTCTTTGCAGGTGAACATGCTGGTGCTGGGGAAGCACCTGGGCATCCCCAAGCCCTTCGGACCCATCATCGATGGCCAGTGCTGCCTGGAGGAGAAGGTGCGGTCCCTGCTGGAGCCGCTGGGCCTCCACTGCACCTTCATCGACGACTTCACCCCGTACCACACGCTGCACGGGGAGGTGCACTGCGGCACCAACGTGCGCCGGCAGCCCTTCTCCTTCAAGTGGTGGCGCATGGTGCCCTGAGCCGGTCCCCC